ACTACGTTTGTCTCAGGCAGGAGTGGAACCTTAGCGCTGCTTTATGCTGGTCAGCGCCGCGCGGTTGGTGTATTTTACTGCCCGGCGTGCGCCCGTGTCCAGCGTGCGGAACCCTATTCTAAAGGCACTGAGTGGAGCAGACGTCACCTCTCACAGAGGACTGAGGATCATGGATCCTCTCACAGCCCCTAAAGACTCCCATGTAACCACCGCCGTCTGCGGATCAGACGTCAAACCTGAAGCTGAGTGTGAGGTCAAAGGCCTGTCCAGCTCTCCAGCTGAATCCAACCAACGCACACCCTCCGACACGGGACTGTTGCCCGGCGAGACCGTGGTGAAGGAGGGTAAAGCAGCCATCTTGTTTCCTAGTGCCAATGAGGTTTTCTACAACCCTGTGCAGGAGTTCAACAGAGACTTGACGTGAGTTACCCTCCATCTGCCACCCATACAGTCCCAAACCCTGAGTTATGTTGCATTGTGCCATAACACTCCAGGGATAGGCTTAGGAACTAACTGCAAACCATGTGCCAATCATTTTCCAATTTGCTTAACTCTTGGTGCTGGTGCTCTTTGTACCCATGTGTCAGTTATTGTGGTTTAGTTGCTTTTTCCAGATGTTTTCAGAAAAAAGTGTTAATTGTTTCCCTTGGAGTGTTTGGACTATTACATACCCTGAAACGGAGTGGTACCCAAGGCCGCGAAGAGGCCACCAGAGTTTCTTGTGCAGTGAGGTGTGAATTGGGCGTTTGCAGCCGTCTTTTTCAGTTTTCGGCATTTCTCTTTGCGTCCCCCAGGTGTGCCGTGATCACGGAGTACGCACGGGAGCAACTGTCAAAGAGGGGGGTGCGGGTGCTGGTGCCAGGGGAGAAGGAGCGTGTGGTTGTCAGTCTGTCAGAGGACGGCCAGGGGACGGAGGAGCAGGAGCAGGAGGACGGGGAGCAGAAGGCGGGACAGGAGACCGAGACGGCTGTCGTGGGGGAGCGCTGTGAGGTACTACTGTGTGCTTGGCTGTGGGGCTGTCAGGCTGGTGCCACTCTTTTCCACCTGTCTCCAGAGTCCTGGCAAAGGCAATACCAGCACACTCTTTTCTACCTGGAGTCATGAATAGTGATCTCTCTCACAGTGTATCACGTGTCTTGTCCCTCTCTCATAGTTACTGTGTCTGCATACATGGATGGGTTGGTGTGTGCCTTTTCCTAGTTTGTGTGTGCGGTTGGGGGTGGGTGTGTCTGTCAAGGTGTGTGCGTACGTTTACTTTTACATTTTGTCATGTAGCAGATGCTCTTATCCAAAGCAACTTCCAATGTGCAAATACAAAATGCCTTTAACAAAACAGCAGGAAATGTCATACAAAAAGAAGGTCATGTACATGATTCCGCACATCAAGTGAAACGCGTCATCTCTCGTGTACTAAGTGTGTTAGCGGAGCCTCTGTGAGCGTGCACATGCTCTGTGTGCTGTGCCACCTTTATGATGTAGTATTGAGCTGAAGAGCGCATGGCGTTCTCTCTCTCCCCCTCCTCAGCGTGGGCTGCGTGTGCTGGAGGGCCTGGCTGCGTCAGGCCTGCGCTCTGTGCGCTTCGCCCTGGAGGTCCCGGGCCTGCAGAGCGTGACGGCCAACGACTGCTCCGCCCGCGCCGCCGCGCTCATCGCGCGCAACGCCCAGTACAACGGGGTCTCGCACCTGCTGCAGGCCAGCCAGAGGGATGCCAGGTAAACACACTCTCTCATGCTAACACACCGCTCCCCCGGTAAGGCTTGCACTGATCCACAAATGGGAGCGTGCTGAGGTACACAGTGATACACTGATTTGAGACATGCACACGCGCTAGCGAACTCTCTTGCTTTGAGTCCGTGTAGTTGCTTTTATACATTTTACAGCGTCGTGTTCTCACTCCTGTTCTTTCAGTATGCTGTTGTACGAGGCTCGTGGGCGAAAGGAGCGATATGACGTCATCGATCTTGACCCCTACGGCAGCCCCGCCCCCTTCCTCGATGCTGCGGTGCAGGCTGTCAGTGAAGGAGGTCAGTTTGATTGAGCCTGTTTGCCTGTTTGTTCCTGTATCCTTCTGCACTGTGGACACCACAGACCCTGTACTTCACAGTGGGCAAAAGATAGGCGCACACATACTCACAGACAGTTATGCAAATGCACATTTTTACACTGATAGGATCTTCTTCACTGAACCTTTGAATTTATTTGCTGCATGGCCTAAAAGGCTCTTGCTGTGTGTCTGCCTGATCCTGGGAGAGCTGTGTCTGATTCATGTTCTGTGTGTGCGTGTCAGGGCTGCTGTGTGTGACGTGCACAGACATGGCCGTGATGGCGGGGAACAGCGGAGAGACGTGCTACAGTAAATATGGCTCCGTGTCCATCAAGGCCAAGTACTGCCATGAAATGGTGAGCACGCCCTGACACAGTGAAATGTGCTGACTCAGTTGTGTGATTTCTGACAAACGCACACTGACTTGCCGCCAAACGCACTGACTCTCAGAATGCCTCCAGATGCAGTGACTCTGAGAAAGCTGTGTGAACGTGCCCAGGCGCACTGAATCTTTAAAAGCTGTGTGAATGCTCACAGACGGACTTGCTATGAGAGAGCTGTGTGAATGCTGTTAGATTATGGATATGTTATGCATGATATCTGATGCTTATGAATTGTTTTGTAAAGTGTAAGGGTGCTAGGTGGCTGCTTGTGGTGTCTATGTGTGTTATGTTAAGTCTGGGCCTTGTGTGCCCCCTTTGCCATATAATGTGTTTATGGCTTCTTTGTGCTGTGTTGTGGAACCTGTGTGTCCTTTTTCTGCGTGCTGTGCAACATGCATGGTGGTTCGTGCATTCTCCTTAACACTGGCATGTTGTCAGTGGGTAGTGTTCGGGGTGTGTGTGTGTGTGTGTGTGTGTGTTGTGTTCAGCGTCTAACATGGCGGTTTGCTCTAGGCACTGCGTATCATCCTGCACAGTTTGGACCAGAGAGCAGCGGTGTACCAGCGTTACATTGAGCCCCTCCTCAGCGTCAGTGTGGACTTCTACATCCGCGTCTTCGTCAGAGTGCACACAGGCCAGGCCACGGTCAAGAACTCTGCCAGGTGTCTACATGTATATCCTGCCCCCTCTGCAGCTTCTCACCCCCTGCTAACCATATCAGAGCTTGTCAATTTTGATGTAAAGCGATTGTGCGTAAAATCTTTTAGTTAATGTTCTAGCTAGATGGCTATAGGAAGGAATGTCTTTTGAAAGGCTTTTGTTCAGAGTCCATAGTGTACTTTGCATTTATAATCACACACTTTCTATACAGGTAATTGTTTCAGGCATTATTAAAACAAGGGGGAAACGTATTGAAGGTGGTTGTAAGCACACTCACTGTGAAAGAGAAAAAAATGAGGGTGACACAGTGTGAAGACCTGTGTAATGAAATATGATGGCTTATTAACAGTGTGAGTTTTCTAGGATGGGTTTTATGCACACAGCTTTGTTAGGTAGTCTAGAAGGTGTTAATTGGGTCTCCATGTAATATTCCATGGGGACCCATTTAAAATATGGGGAATGCCAAGTGGATTTTTCAAAAGGTACCATTAAGAGGGCTGGGATATGAAATAGTGCAAAAGTAACGAGGCTCATTTGTAAATGTAAACTAATACGTGCTGCTGTGCTGCGGTTTGTGTTGCAGTAAACAGGCTTTGGTGTACAACTGCGTGGGCTGTGGCTCCTTCCACCTGCAGAGAATGGGCAAGAGGATCAGCCAGGGCAAGCAGTACGGCACCCCCTCACTCTCTGTCCTTCCACCTCCCTGCACTCTGTCTCACACATTCACTTTCCTCCCTGTGTTACTCCTCTCCGTTCCTCTACTACCCTGCTCCTTCTGTCACGCTCATTCCCTTCCCAACTCCAAGCCCCTCCCTCCGTTGCCCTCTTTCTCTCCTCCACACTAACTCCCTCTCATTTCCTCCCCCGCTCTAATCCCTCCCTCTGTTACTCTCACTGCTTCTCCAACTCTCAGCCCCTCCTTCTCTGACTTCATCATAGCTGACAGTGTGTAATATGTGTGCAATATATGCAGTTTCAGTTATGCTGTAGGAGATTCGCACAGTGACCTGTTTGTGTGTTGGTATGTTTGTACACTGGGCGGCAGTGTAATGTAGTGGTAAGGAGCAGGGCTCATAACCGAACGTTGCTGGTTTGATTCCCTGCTAGTGCACTGCTGCTGTACCCTTGGGCAAGGTACTTCACCCAGAATTGCGTCAATAAATGTCCAGCTGTATACATGGATAACATGTAAAAACTGTAACCTTACTCTGGATAACAGCATCTGCTAAAAGATAATGTAATGTAATATTTCAGTATGAAGTACTCTGCAGCCACAGGACCCCCTACTGGCCCAAACTGTGAGCGCTGCGGCCACCGGCACCAGGTCAGTTTCTGGAGGGATAAACTAAAGTCTGCTCAGCCAGACTGTGGTGTTGCCATATTTGGTGGAACATTAACCATTGTCGTCCTTTATATTTATATGTTCATCACTGTTTTAGGTGACTGCCATGCCTTGTGTAGTCAAAGATTACTTACCCTCCCATCTCCCCATCCCTCTCTGTAGTTGGGAGGTCCTATCTGGGCGGAGCCGCTCCACAGCACGCAGTTCGTCCAGAAGGTTCTGTCCGCCGTGTCAGGGAACCCGTCCCGATTTGGGACGTCCCGTCGCATCGAGGGCATGCTCAGCATGGTCACGGAGGTGTGTGACGGTCTCAGTGTTTCAAACGAACAGTGTTCTCCATTTGGTTTACATATTTGGCATGTGGCTGGCATGTGTGACGGGTGTGTGTGTGTGTGTGTGTGTGTTGCAGGAGCTGGAGGACGTGCCTCTGTACTACACACTCGACAGCCTGAGCAGCACTGTGCACTGCAACACCCCGCCCCTGCTGCAGTTCAGGTACAGCAACGCAGCGCTTCCCTGCAGATCCCGCCCATGTCAGACCTCTGCAACACCAGCACCTTTTGTAGTGGATGCAGTATAGCATAGTGGTAAGGCACAGGGCTAGTAACCAAAAGGTTGCTGGTTTGATTCCCCGCTGGGGCACTGCCCTTGTAGCCTCGGGCAAGGTACTTTCCCCAAAATTGCCTCATTAAATGTCCTGTATAAATGGATAGCATGTAAAATTATAACCCATATAGGTTGATCTAGATAAGAGCTTCCGCTAAATGACTGTAATGTAATGTTGAGAACATTCTCTCCATGCGGCAGTTTGCGGCCTCACTACTCTGTTACTGTCATCCTCTCCGAAAATTCCCTCTGCTCTCTTCTGTTACGGTCATCCCCCTCAGAGCATTCCTTGCACTCTCGTCTGTTAACATCATCCTTTTAGAACATTCCCTCCGTGTTGCAGCACACAAGCTGCCTCTCCACTGTCATCTGTTACAGTCATCCTTGTAGAGAATTCCCTCCGCTCTTGTCTGTTACCATCATCCTCTCAGAATATCCCCATCCACTCTCATCTGTTACCTCAGGTCTGCCCTCCTCCACGCTGGCTTCAGAGTGTCCCTCTCTCACGCCTGCAAAAACGCCCTCAAGACTGACGCTCCCCCCAGTGCACTCTGGGATATTATGCGCTGCTGGGTAAGGGCACAGGATTGTGGGAAAAGGCAGGAAGTGATGCATGAGTTTTGAGCTGTGCTTTGTGTGGTGAATGCCCTGTTTTGAATTGTTTAGTCAGTCCGCGTACTGTGTTTTGAACTGTATTTTGAGTTATTATTTACATGATTGGGCAGTGATTGAACTGTTCTGGCCTGTGTTTTGACTATATCTGTGTCCTCTCAGGAGAAGAAAAACCCAGTGAAGAGGGAGAGGCTGTCGGAGACAAGTCCAGCGTCCCGCATCCTGTCCACTGAGCCCACGTGAGTGCAAACTGACCGACACAGTGACACACTGTCCTAAAATGATACGACTGACACAGTAACGCATTCCTAAATTACATGACTGATAGTGACACACTGTCCCAAATTGCATGACCAGCAGTGATATTCTGTCCTAAATGGCATGGCCAACATAGTTACACACTCCTAACTTACATGACCAACACAGTTACACACTCCTAAATGACATGGCTAACACAGTGACTCACTCTTCTAAATGACATGCTGAGATACTTCACTGCTTTTTCACTATACCAATATTTGTGCACCCAAACATTCAATCAAGCCCTATTGGCATAATGAGGCTTTTCTTTAGTATACAAAACACCTTGATAAGTGCTACCTGCAGCCAAAGAATAGGATTAATAATCGTTCATCAGCTTTTATAGTCTTGCATTGCTGCCTGCCATGAGGTTGTGTTGACCATGGCTGGCTGTGGTGATGTATGCAGTGTTCTGTCCTCTGTTTCTCAGTCCTCTCATCTGTCCCCCCTCAGTCTGCAGGCGTGTTTCGAAGTGCGTGAAGACGCCAACCCCCAGTCTCGGCGCCGCCACCTCGTCCGCTTCCAGGAGAACCCGCAGGCCAACTGGGGGCCCAAGGCCCGCGCCAAGGCAGGGTGAGAGAGCTCGCCCGCCCACCCCGATCGGCCCCAGCGCCTCTGCCCTCCCCGTCTGTGGGCGTCACCACAGGAGACTCCGCCTGCATCCGTCTGTCTGTCAGTGCATCCGAATGTGACGGTCTGTCCTTCTAAAAGCCCCCTCTCCTCCTCTCTCAGCGGGGGCATTTCGACAGAGCTGGAGGACAGGAGGAAGCAGTTCCAGAACAAGAGGAAGAACCAGATCACCGATGCTTCCCAGGTCAAGAGTTACCCCTGCAAGAAGTTCAGAAAGGTACACACACACACACACACACACACACACACACACACACACACACACACAGGATATCCACTCAAGGGCATTGCACTCGATGTTCCTTCAGCAAACTAAACGTGTCAGGATACACATATGGGTAGCAGTGTAGCACAGTGGTAAGGAGGGGGCCTCGTAAACAAAAGGTTGCTGGTTCCATTCCCCACTGAGGCACTGCCGTTGTACCCTTGGGCAAAGTAATTATCGCACAGTTGCCTCAGTAAATATCCAGCTGTTTAAATGGATAACGTCAAGGAAACTGTAACCTGTGTAAGTTGCTCTGGATAAGAGCGTCTGCTGAATGACTAAATAATGTAATGTAATATGACGCCACACAAACCATGTCTGCATGGTCTCTGCAGGACCACATGTATATACGCACATAAAATTTTAAAATGATAGAGGCATGGCTGGATCTTCTCTAACCCTCCTGCCCCTTTCCCTGGTCTCCCTGCCTCTCTTTCCTCCCCCAGGGTACGTGCTCACGTGGAGAAGAGTGCTGCTATTCTCACGAACCCCAACAGGAGCCCGGTGAAGGAGAGAAGGTGGAGAAGATGGAGTGATGGGATTCTCTCTGTGGTCATGTTTACACCCTCCTGTCCCGTTCGCTCCCCCCGTAGGGCAGGGTAGCACCGCATCAGCCGTCAGCTCCTTCACACCTTCACCCAAACCTGCCTCCCCGCCCCTTCCTCTGCTCTGAGCTGCGAATGCAATCAAAATCTCTCTCAGGACTGCTAGCTCCCAATACACAATAAAAATTCAGGATTATGTGTTAGGTACATCCTATGTCTCATGTACCGATTAAACATTGTGTAAGAGTCACAGAGGTAAAAGACTTGACATGTGAGATTATGGAGTTCAAACCAAAGGTCTACAGCAGAGTGTCCTGTGAAGTGAACAGAGCTCGGAAGACCACTGGAGGCGTTTAAGGAGCATGGGTTGAGCACAAGGGTTTGGAACCGGCAAACGCTGAAACCCAGAAGCCGTGTCCCTAGTAGAAAGGAGTGTGGAGCGCTAGGCGGAAATGTTATATGTGCAAGATTAATGTGTGCCTTGGCTTTGAATGTGAGAGATGAGGGGAGCAGTATTATGGTTTCATGAAAGAACCACATGTGTGTAACAATGGGAAGAGGATTTCCAAGCCCAGCGATGTGCTGTATCCGTGGTGTTTTAGTTGACGGGTAACATAATGTAAACGGAAGATGTAAAGGAAGAGGCACCCTGAGGGATTGGAAAGGTTGTTTTATTCTTCTTTTTTTTTCCTCTTGTATTTTTTTTTTGTCTGCTGGCCTGAACAGCCAATAAAATGCCTGTGACTAACAGTGTGCGTGGGTGTGTGTGTGCGCACACGCTTGCGTGTGTCTGCGTGCTTTTAAACCATTAGTTCTCCTGTGTGCCAGTTCTCAGCAGGGCTCCTCCTTCGTCTGTCACATTCACAGACACGTCAGGCCCCCTTCCCCTCCGCAGAGTTGAAGTGGAGCAGCTGTTTACTGCACTGGCCTTAGAGGAACCCATCTCTCTCTCTTCCCTTGTTTCACTGAGGTTGTGCTTTCATTATTCTGACTATAACTCTCAACTGACCTTTCTTCTGTTGTTCATCAGTAGTAAGGTAAAGGTTCTTCCAAGGCCAGGCCTGAAGTGCAGTGGAGGGGATCACAGGTAGTAGAAAACTGTTTGCATTTGTCAGTGTGTTTTTGACAGTTGAACACAAAGGGCACCCATTTCCATGTTAGGTGTTTTTTTGAGGGATGAGTGAAAGCAGACATTTTAGCCTAGGCAACTGAAGATCCATTTAGCACAGAATGCACTGAGGTCACATGGTAAACCTTAGGCTCTGTTGTGGGGAAGAGCCCCTAAGACATTGCTTAGGATCCCAGCCTGTACAGTATGTTCCCAGTTACTGCCTTGCATAAATTGCATTAACCAAATTTTGCCTTTTAATGAACGTCTGAAAGTGTCCCTTCGCTGCACAGATGGTGAGATCAAGTAAGCAGATCAAGTACAAATAAGCAGTTACCGTGTCAGTGTTAGCACTCTAGAAGCAATTGGGATGCTGACACTGGCTAAAACAGTAGAGATGAGGAGAAACTCATCAAGGGAGGGGCACTACAGTACATTGTGTCAGAGTGCACACAGGTTAAGACATATGTCTGTTAGAAGACAAAGTACATCCTACACGGTCTGCAGCATAAATACAGTTCTCGCTAATGATCAGGTACTGCAGGCATAGCAATCACTGAGATTTATTTTAGCTGCTTGTGATCAACACAGAAATTCATCAACACACTTTAAAAAAGAAATAAAAAAATTAGAAAAGCATTTTCAAAAAAATCACATTGCACAGTTTACTGAAAGGTGGCCATAGGTAGAGGTGAGAGAGTAATCCAGCTCATCTATATTCACTGATTGGTTGACTGAACAGTACATGTAACACCTGAAAGAAAATTATGTAGGGAGGTGTATGATGTTGTCCGGCAAGCTTCTAAGCTGGATCTTCTGAAACCCCTCCGAAACCGGATACACAGTCACGTTCCCCAGAGAAGCAGAGACACACATATAGGCAGCAGTGCAGTAAGAACCAACCACGTCTCCAGTGAGCAACATCCCAGAGGAAACACTGACACCAATGGAGGTGCTATTCCCCTAAGCCAGTGGCAGTCCAGGGCCCAATTTTTCTGACTCAATGAGGACTACAGGGTGAGGTGATGAGGATTTTTAGGGCAAAACAGCGACACTGTGAAACTGAATGATGTGTTTTAGACAATAAATGTACATATAAATCCAAAAACATGGAGAGAACACCTTGTTTTTGTTCTAAAACCATTAGCACCTTGCTATTCTCTGTGGCGTGAGATTGAGGCGTTTTTTGAGGCTATGCAGTGCTGTGCTGGGTCAGACAGAACTGTCTGAATAGGCATCTTCAAAAGGCACAAGATTATCTTCAGAATGCAACAATGGACAGAAACGTGGCACTTCGTGATAATACTCGGGCAGAAAGTGTGGAAATGCTGCTCGCTGGATCCGTGCCAGAATGAGGGTTGAAGTGAGGACACGAGTGGCTTGCAGAGATTGGGTGATTTGAACTACTGATCCGTGATTGGCTGCTCTGAGATTGGCTATCTGTGGCGCATTCGGAGGAGGAAGGTGCGGATCTCCATTGGGTTCAGCGTCACCTCCCACACAGAGGGGTCTCCCGTCCCACGCTTCAGGGGCTTCTCGCCTGGAACACACATCACAGCAATTACTGATGCCCCTAG